ATGAGCATACGACTCTCCTCTCTCCCCTGACTCTGCGCACAAGATCTTCGGCCCTCTCCACTTACGCATTGTTTTTTTCACCAGATTTCAAACACCATTGTTTCTTGTGTTTTACAATCCGATTGTTTTCGATGTTGCAGCGTGGGCCTCGCGCTTTGCTCCCGTCGTTCAGAATGGCGCTCTCGCCCCAGCGCGGGCCACTTTCCTGGATCCGAGTCCTTTTTCATCGTTGTCGCCCGCCTCATTTCTCCTCCTCCTCCGCCTTCCCTTGTGCTCTTGCTTCTCCCGCTCCTTTCACTCGACCTCCTGCTCCTGCTGTTCGTCGTCGTCGCCCTCCTCCTCCTCTTCCTCCTCCTCCTCCCTCTCCTCCCTCATCCTCCTGCTCATCCGCCACCTCCTCCTTCAATGTACGCGGCTTTTTTTCGATAGCGCAAAACACGATAGGGTCCTCTTTGGAGCCCGTAGTATGTCAGACCTGGTGCGACCGCGCCTGGCTTGTCCTCGCCCTTCTCGCCTCTCCTCCTCCTCCTGCTCCTCCTCCCTCTCCTCGGCTCCTCCTGCTACCCCTCCTCACCAGTCCTTCCAGGAGGAGGAGGAGGAAGAGGAGGAGAAGGCGGCGAAGAGACGAGGATGCCCCTCCTCCTCCTCCTCCTCCTCCTCCTCCTCCTCTCGCCGCCGCAGAAAAGGCAGCACGCGGCAGGGGACCGGGGAGCGGGGGCCCGAGAGGATCGATCACACGAGCGGCAAACGCATCCATGCGCACGCCCCCTCGCGGTCTGGATTCCGGGGCGCGCTGCTGTGAGATACGCGTAGGGGAGCGAACAATGACATAAAGATGAAAACTCTCAGGTCCGCGCGAATTTCTCGGATCGGCGCCGGGGCTCCCTGGCGGCGCCTCTGGCGCCGCCCCTGGTGCGCCCCGCGCGCCAGTGAGGGGGGTCCAGCGCAGATCCGAGAAATCCGCGCGGACCTCTGAGTTTTTATGATTATTTCATTGTTTGGTCCTCTGGGGGGATACGTGGTCGCGTGGATGCGCTCCGCGCGGGGCCTCTGCAAAGAGACGCCCCTTGTCCGTGGGGTCGCGGCTCACGAGGCCGCGGATCGATCGAGGGCCCCTGACCAGGACTGAACGCGAAGACGTCGGCGCCGATCTTGGTCACCGTCCACCTTGGTCACAGTCAATTCTCTGCTTGTCCTCGCGAGTCGGCGACGGCTGGCATGGACCATGACCAAGATCGGCGTCCCCGAAATCTCGCAACATCGCTCTTACCGCCTCGAATTGGTCCTCGCCCAACCGGCAACGCGACAACCAACCTGACGTCACTCACCTGACCCCGCCAAGAGTGCGGTGTGAGCATCGGGAGAGACGTGATTTTGATATTATGCACCGCAGCGGCGGGCGGGCGTAGAGCCGTTTGGACATTGCTAGCGCTACCCGCACAAGGTCGCGAACGCTCGAAGATCGAGGTTCTGGGACGTGTTTGGTCCTTCCAGGGCCGTCGGGGCATTGAAATTCGAACCTCTTGGACGTTTTGACCCGTCGAAACTCGAACCTCTCGGTCCGTGTCTGGGCCCACGGAGGCCTCAGGAGGCCGTGGGGGGCCGCGCTTCGGCGCCGAACGACTGGATCACTTCATAGCCTCGGTGGCGCACAAACGGCACCGAAGACCGAGAATAATTGCAGTTGGTACATAGGCTGTCGAAGCTCGGCTGGGCTGCCAACTCCCAACAAGGGAGGTCGTCCCACCAAAACTCGCTGGGCAGGCTGACAGTCCACCACAGATATGTATCTTCCCGACGAAGGCTCGTGATAACTTTTCGTGTCTTCTTCGAGCTCTGCGTGTGGATATCGTTTCCTGGTGGGGTAGGATGTCCAGCACCGTTTTCGCTTGGGGTTCTGGCGCTGCGATATGCAGAAAACAGTCAGTATGTGCGTCATACCTTTTCCAGGAGTTCGGCAGTTCCCACCAACTCGCACATAGTATCACTTGAAGTGCTCCACAAGAGATCTTCAATCCGCTGCAATCTTGAAGCATTATCATTCTCCTCCTCCTCCTCCATCCTCCTCCTCCTCCTCCTCCTCATCCTCCATCCTGCTCCTCTTGATCATCATCATCCTGCTCGTACTCTTCCGTTTCATCTTCCGTCTTATCCCTCCCCCCAACTCCTCTTCCTCCCTTATCCTCCTATTCCTCTTTCTATTCGTACTCCTCTCGCCCTCGTTCTCCTTCCTTCCCCCTCCTGATGACGGAAGCAGCGACGTGGCCTTATCGAAAGTGTTAAATTATCACTGTGGCAAGTCGGATGGGATGCGCTTTCGCCGACGACATGGATCGACCATCAGGGTGGCGAATTGCATATGGGCGACGGGGACGACGATCGCACGTGGGACCCAGCCGACGTCATCCGTGCAGTACTTGGAGGCGCAGCCACCACAGCTCTGGTCCAAGGCCTCGGCGCACTGGCTGGGCAAAGGAGCGGAGGACGTCATCGACACCTACGACCTTGCCAGGAAGCTGGGGACCCTGCGCAAACGTGGCAAACACCACGAAGCAGAGACTCTACAAGCAGTGGCATGTGTAGACATGTGGACGCCAGACCGCAAGAGCAAGATCTTCACCGACGTGTGCAACATCTGCACTTGCGGCCAAGTATGCGACGACATGCACAGCGTATAGGGTACATGTTCCAACAGAGACGAGCACGATGATGACACCACGACAGAGAAGCTACAACGACGAGCACTAGAAGGCAACGATACCATCCCTTCGTTCTGGCTGAGAGGCTTCATAACAAAAGCGTGGACAATGCCACCAGATTGCGAGACGGAAAATCACCCAATCGACTTCGGTGAACTCCAGAATCGGATCCTGGTCAGACCAGCAGAGCACGCCGACGGACAGGACTACCTCACGGTGATCAGCACGGACGGCAGCGGCGGAGCACATTCACAGGACCCACGATATCGCCGATGCGGACGGGGCTGGATCTCAATGATACGCAGGCGGCAAGACGGTGCCTATGCTTGAGGAACCACTGCCTGGTCGAAGACAGACCAACAACATAGCTGAACTATGATCAAGACTTCAAACTATTCGAAGCACACCTGGTAGACTTCTGATGTGGACATACTCAGATGTATCGGTACAGGGAAAACGGATACCAGCATCGGAGAGGCCAACGAAGATCGAACATGGACACCAAATCTGCCAAACCATACATCAGCGATAGCCGGCACATGAAGATCCAGTCTCGCTCATCGAGCTACGGCATGTACCAAGCCACATGGACGAGAGGCAGAAGGTGAACTTGCACTCAGGCGAGGAGGCCTGGCTAGGGAACTCCCTGGCAGATGCATTAGCCCAAGAAGGCCGCCTCAGACCACGAGGTCCCCGAGCAGCAGATGCAGTTGCACGAATGGGTGAGCCACGGCCACGCTGGTATGGCACCGCCTCATACCTGTACATGTGGAGGCATGCGCCAAACACCCGTCCGCCCAGATCACGGACCGCGAGGCTGCCAAGCAACTAAAAGAAGCAGGCAGCCAGTGGCATGAGCCTGGCCTTAGCCTCCTCCCCTCACCAGCTCCTCCCCTCCAAAAGTGGATGGTAGTGCAGTATATGTAAAGAATAATTACCAAGCGAGCTGAAGCTGTAGTCGTCAAGCGTTGGCTTAAGCAGTGTAGAGCAGATAGCCCTGTAGTAAAGGCAGTCAAAAGGGGTATCTAGTAGAATCCAAATAGAAATCCGATCAGTCCACAACTCCCACGCCATGGGGTATGCTGAGTTTTGCTAGCCATGGTTGTGTTCAATATGTGGTCGTCGTGCCGAAGCGTCCGAGCAAGGGGGTGTGAAAGAGGCTTTTCGAACAGTGTGGGGCCCCGACACAAAAAAGGTGAAAAAGGCAAACCAGTGCCTCACTGGGAGCCCCAAGCGCTCCTGGCCTCCCCGAGATAGCATGCGTCCCCGAATGGCGTGTCTCGACATCGTCGTCGCCGAATTTTTCCGAACTCTTCCTCCCACCTCCTGATGCAAGCCGTCTTTTTGTTGTCGTCGTCCTCCTGGGCACAGCAAAGGAAGCGGACGCGATGCGTTCGCCCCACCGCGGGGCCGCTGTCTCCATCAAGTGACTGACCTGACACCCGACGGAGACAGCAGCGAGCCACGAAGCCGCTGCAGAGCGGCGTTCTCGAACGTTTCCCGCGACAACCAATTTCCTCTGCTCAGACTGCCCCTCGCCTTCTCCAGGGGGTGAGGGGGCGCCCACGAGACGAGGGGGGTAGCAAAATGGGGTGGGTGGCAAGCCCATCTTCGTGGGCCCGACTGTAAGACGAAGCTAAGATAATGAGAAACATGGACCAAACATATCTGGAACTGGCGGGCCCGGAGGATGTGTCGGACGCCACGGCTATTTCAGAGCACTACGGAACACTCTGAGAGCATTCCAGAACGCTCTGGGGCAATTTCCCAGGAGATGCAACCTGAAGGGAGGAAGGTAGCGAATCGGCTTCATGCAGCTGTTTTTCCTAACGCCTCCAAGCACTGGCCACGACCACTTGCTACGATTGGAGCAAAGTGCTGAGCAAACAGGCGAAACTAACTGAATTGCAAATTGGGGTAATCTCAATTGTTCGCACACTCCTTTCTTTCTGACACCCTCATTGTTCTCCCCAGATCCGGCGCACTTGTAAAAAATCATGCTGTCATGAAAAATTACGATTCGACCTATCGATCCCGCCTTCAATTCGAACTCCTCGAGATCGGTCCGTAAGGATCCTTGAGCCAGAAACGGGGCAAAAACGTTTGTCGTCGTTGTTGCCAAACGTTTCAATCTTCACAGCATAGCCACCGGAAGTGTACGTATCATGGTGGACTGATCTACCATCTTGCCAATGCATTTCCGACGCGCACGGCTTTCTCTCCCCCAATGCATCTCCGACGCGCACGGCTTTCTCTCTCGGGTACCGCCCCCCCGCTGCCCTTCCCGCACGTCGCGGTAGCCTTCAGCTCGTGGGGGAAGAACGACCTGCTCACTCTCAGTGGCATCGCCCCTCAAACTCGAGGAGGATGCTAGACCTAATAACAACGCTCGCCCTCCTCCCCCTCTTCCCCCTCCTCCCTCTCCTCCCCCGCCTCCCTCTCCTCCTCCTCCTCCCCTCCTCCTCCTCCCCTCCTCCTCCTCCTCCTCCTCTTCTGGCATTGCCATAACCCACAGGTCCTCCTCCTCTGGCATTGCCCGGACGCGCATGGGAAGGTCTGTATCTCACCAAACGTAACTCGATATGTCCAGGCGATCAGAATCCCACCAGCCCTCTGGGCTGAGGCACTGTTAACAAGTTTCTTTGTCCCTCGTCTACCACAGCCCTTCTCCCCCTAATCTTTTGTAGTGCGCACCCCCTCTCGTAGTACGCACCCCCTCCCTCACCCGACCGCCGACAAACCCAGGCCAATGATAGTCACTAGTCACCCTACCGTCCCTGGGAAAAAACAACAATGCGAAGTGCGCAATACACCAACATCTGGGGCACGCGCGGACGCCCCGCGATCACTTACCCTTGGTTGTTGACAGTGAGGAGGGGGTTCATACAGTGCGGGTGCGGCCGCAACAAACCATCGCAAGAAACGCAACCCTGATAACCCGTGCGCGAGGTGCACCTGAAGGGAAACCAGGAGCACCCTGAACGCAGCAGCTCCTTCAACGGCTGGAGGAAGCTACCGCGTAGCGCGAGGAACGGAGAAACCCAGGATACCCTGATGATAAGCATATGGTTTCTTGATGCGCGCCCCAACTGTATTGTTCGTTTTGCGCAGGCCTACCAGCCCTTTATCAAATCACGAAGCAAAAAACTACACATGGCGGCAACATCTGGACCGTGCGCGGGCACCCCATGATCACTTCGCACCTGCTGCTGACAAGGTCGGCGGCGGGGCCTTCGTCTGCTCTGCGCAGACCCACCATCCCTGTCAACACACAATGCGCAGGAACATGTGTGGCCAAAACTGCACCATGCGCGGGCGCCCAGATATCATGTTGCATGGATTTCTGACAGTGGGGGCGGCCGGGGAGCCTCATATTGGCTGTTCCGTGTTAACTCACGACGCCAGACAAAAACCACGCCAATTGCACTTTGCGAGGACCCTCTGGATCGTGCCCCAACGCCCCGCGCAAACTTTGCGACAGCGACGGGGGGGACGCCCTCATATTTTCTGTTCCGTGCTTCCGACGGGGTTCATGAACCCAGTGGGAGCGGGGACCCCCCCCTTCTTCAGGAAACCAAGGGGTGTGGGGTGGGGGAGAAAATGCCGCCCCCCTTCCCCAAGATCTTGGGGGAGGGCGTGTGGGAGACCCCCGCTCCCGTGCCACCGACCATCCACATGCCGGACACAGCCCCCTGAGGCGATAGCATCATCGACCCGTGCCTTGTCAGCGTCTCTCTCGTGGGATATCTGGGTGAGTCGTAACTGCGCATGGTCCACCGCTTTCCATCCCTCGGCCATTCGGGCTTCGAGGGCGGCGACATGGTAAACCGAAATCGGGGTGCCCAGCTGATCAGTCTGGGTCCGTACAACGCGCATCTCAGCCAACGCAGCCCGCATTTCAAGCAACTGCTGATCGACCGTGGAAACTCGGTTTTCAAGCGCCGGTACTCGTCCTTCCGAAGGGTCAAGACGCTGAGCGATAGCCATCTCAGCAATGCGCAGCTTGCCGTGCAACTCGGACGTGATTGTGGCACTTTGGGAGTGTAGGTTGGCAATGGCCACTTCAACCTGAGCACGAAACGCAAGTAGGTCGTCGCGGGGCTGTTGATCCGTGAGCCGATGTACCTCCGTAGCTGGAACCTGCCGCACCGTCAGGAACTCATCGTGCGGTGTCCTGACAGCAGCAGCGCCCGCGTTCCTGAAGCTCGCGAACTGGGCCCCCGCTGCGAAGAGGTAGTCGTAGAACGTCCGAATTTCTATAGAGTCGGAACCCCGGCGTGGCCCCACGCGGTCGGCTTGATACCGGAACTGGGCGAAGATCGATCGACCTTCAGCGATCCGAACGTCGACGAAGGCAAAGGCGTCGTGGAGCTCCTGCCTCAGTGTTGCTATCTGCGCAGCAAGGCCTGCTAACTGTTCAACCGTGTACGTATCAACCTGGTCTCTAAGCTCTGCCAAATCAGTGGCGGAGGGCGATTCTCGCGGCGCGATGTCGCGCCGCAGGGAACTCTGCCGAGAGCGCACCCGGGAGGGGCTGCGACTGGTGCCCCTATGCTGGGGCTGGGGATTATACCGATCGGGGACTCTCGCTGCGAGGTCATTCCAGTGCGACCCTCGGTGGCTCGCGCGCGATCTAACACGGGCACCGATGCGGGGCTCGAAGGACCCCTGGTGTACCAGCGGCGGTGTCGCGCGGCAGCGCTCGGGGGAAACATTTCACTGGCGCCACCACCGCGGGTGTTTCCACCGGCGACGGTTGAAGGGGAAGAGGCGAGGCGAATCCAGCGGTGGTTTCGAAGGCAACCGCGGGCTTCCACCAGCGAGGGTTCCGAACTGCAGGTGGCGCTAGGAGACGCCATAGTCCACTGGGCGCTGTCCAAACCCTGGCGCGTGAGAGGCGCCGGCGCGGGAGGCGGGAAGGAGTCCATGACTACGTCGAGTTCCGCCTTTAGTCGAGCATCGGCACTGCCTTCGCCTGGCAGGGGGATTGCGGTATCATGCTCGGTCCCATTGCCCTCTCCGTGGCGTCGTAACGCGCGCGCGCGAAAACCCAGCACGCAGAGAGGCACTGGTCCCCGTGGGGTCCAGCGCGGTGCGGCTGAGTCACAGACGACGCTGGGCGTCGCACTGGAGAGCGAAATAGGATAGGCTGCCAACCTGTGCATGTAGGTTGACGACCGAGGACCCGAACCTACTGAGATACCCGTACGTAGAGGAAGGTTCGGGAAAGGGTGGCGATCCCTACCATGCGCCGCCGGCAAGCGGCGCGGCACCAATCCCACCAGCCCTTTGGGCGTGAGTGGTTTAGAGAGCCCGCTCTGTCCTCAACCCCCCTTCTTCCCCTTCGGGGAGGGGTTTACCCCTCCCCCTCCCCCCTCCCCCTGGACCTGGAGAGGGGGTTTCGCGGGTCGTTGGAGGGGTCTTTTACGACTCCTGGGAGGGCTAAAAAACGACGACCCTCACGAGGATTCTGGCCCCGACGGGGGGACGGAGATAAGTCCCTCTCCTCTTCTTTGAAGCCAAAATCATTGATTTTACTACGGTTTTGGCCCCATTTTGGCCTCCTGAGGGGGCCGCGCTCATCTTCCTTCATAGCAAAATCATTGATTTTACTAAGGTTTTGGGCTCATTTTGTCCTTCTCAGGGGGCAGCGCTCCTTTGCGCTTCAGAGGAGGTCGCAAGAGGCCCCAAGATGGCCCCAAGAGGCCCCCAGGAGGCTCCCAAGAGGCCTCCAAGAGGCCCCCAAGAGGCCCCCAAGAGGCCCCAAGAAGAGGCCCCCAAGAGGCCCCCAAGAGGCCCCAAGAGGCCCCAAGAGGCCCCCAAGAGGCCCCCAAGAGGCCCCCAAGAGGCCCCCAAGAGGCCCCAAGAGGCTCCAAGAGGCCCCCAAGAGGCCCCACGAGGAGCCCGAACGACTCACACCAGGACGAGGGGCCCGAACGACTCACACCACGAAGAGCCCGAACGACTCACACCACAAGGAGGGGCCCGAACGACTCACACCAGGACGAGGCGCCCGAACGACTCACACCACGAGGAGCCCGAACGACTCACACCAGACGAGGGCCCCGAACGACTCACACCACGAGGAGCCCGAACGACTCACACCAGGAGGAGGAGCCCGAACGACTCACACCAGGACGAAGGGCCCGAACAACTCACACCACGAGAAGCCCGAACGACTCACGCCAGGACGAAGAGCCCGAACGACTCAAACCACGACGAAGAGCCCGAACGACTCACACCAGGAAGAAGGGCCCGAACGACTCACACCAGGACGAGAGGCCCGGAGATATGCGGGGGCAGGCGGAAACACGCCTGAAAAACACGACTGTCGGCATGCTTCGCAAGAGCTGCTGTTTTGAGATGGGCTGGTGGGGATACGCGAAGCGTGAAGAATTTCCAATGCATGAGCCGAGACGGTAGCAGGATAGATGGATAAAAAGGTGATATGAGCGGCCTTCACATACAGTAGTCGTAGTCGTAGTCGCAGTAGAAGTAGTAGTAGTAGTAGTAGTAGTAGTAGTAGTAGTAGTAGTAGTAGTAGTAGTAGTAGTAGTCGTAGTAGTAGCAGTAGCAGTAGTAGTAGTAGTAGTAGTAGTAGTAGTAGTAGTAGTAGTAGTAGTAGAAGCAGTAGTAGTAGTAATAATAATAATACAAGTAGCAGTAGTGGTAGTAGTAGTAGTAGTAGTCGTCGTAATCGTAGTAGTAGTAGTAGTAGTAGTAGTAGTAGTAGTAGTAGTAGTAGTAGTAGTCGTAGTAGTAGTAGTAGTAGTAGTAGTAGTAATAATAGTAGTAGTAGTAGTAGTAGTAGTAGTCGTAGTAGTAGTAGTAGTACTAGTCGTAGTCGTCGTCGTAGTAGTAGTAGTAGAAACAACAGTCGTAGTAGTCGTAGTAGTAGTAGTAGTAGTAGGAGTAGTCGTAGTAGTAAGAGTAGTAGTAGTATTATCCCGGCAAAGCAACCTAACAGCGATGTGTAGAAGCATATCTGAAAGCACTCCCCTTAAGATTCAGATGAAAATCCAGTTGTCGAATTCTGCTGTACTCGCAGTCGTAGTCGCATTCGCGATGACAGTCGCAGCGGCAACGGCAGTCGCAGTCACAGCCTCAGCCTCAGCCTGCCTCCTCCTCCTCCTCCTTCTCTTTCTCCTGCTCCTCCTCCTCCTCCTCCTCCTCCTCCTCCTCTTCCTCCTGCTCGTCCTCGTTCTCGTCCTCCTCGTCTTGCTCGTCCTCCTCCTCCTGGTGCTCTCTCCTCCTCCTCCTCCTCCTCCTCCTCCTCCTCCTCCTCCTCCTGGTGGTCCTCGTTCTCCTCCTCCTGGTGCTCTCCCC